GCTTTTATCAGATTCTTCCAAAAACCATGGGTCAAAAGTTGGATAAAGAAAAGAGAGTTGCACAAGGGAGGGGTGAGGATAGGTAAGACACCTAAAAAATTAGCTAGGATTTGTTGCCCTTAATGCAGAGAACCTAAAGCAGATACCTTAAAAGCAACTGAGGCCAATAGGAAAAGGGGACCAGGAACTAGAGAAAAGGTTAGATCAAAAAGAATTAACCTAGAAGGCAACACACACGTACAGAAAATTAATGTGAGTCAACTCCCTGTATAGCTACCCTTATCTCAACCAGGAACACTTATTCCTTCCTATTATTACCTATACTCTCTCTACAACAAAATTAGAGATAAGGGCAAAATAGTTTATGCTGGGTATTGAGGAGGTGGGGGTGGAGAGGGAGGGGTGGAGTGCGTGGTAAGGGAGGGGGTGGAAGCAGGGGGAGAAATGACCCAAGCCTTGTATGCATATATTAATAATAAAACAATAAAAGAAAGAAAAGAGAGCTGAATACAGAAACCTGGGAAGAATTCAAAACTTTAGGAACGGTGTGATTCCCAAGAACTAAATAGGTAAATGCTGAAAACAGACTCCAACAAGGACAGTCATTACAAGGATGGACAAGAACTAGGTTATGCAGTGCTCAGTTTACTAAGCTTACATGGAGTCTCTCCTTGGCCACCCAGTTATGCCAAGCCCAGCCTATGGAAATCAAAATGAAACCCAAAATCTGAGTCCTATGGAATTGTCAATTTTGAAACCCAATTTGGATTCATTCTTCCCTGAGATACTGAGACACTTGTTATCTCCATTTGCTATCTACTCATCATTCTATATGCACATTTCATATTTGGATCTTAGTGGATATTTTTTGTTAATTAATTTAGCAGTCCCCACTGTGATATAGAGTCCCAGACCTATGATAATAAAAAGATATAGGGAAGCAAGCCAGATAAGGTTCTTTCTGTTCTCATGGTATTTGAACTTTAATTGGGGGAGGGGGAATTTATGATAACATGACATTTTATGCAGAGATAGATACTATGAAGTTAACAAAACAGCAATATTACCGGACATGGTCATACTTATCTGTAACCGCAGACCATGGGAGGCCAAAGTAGGAGGATGATGAGTTGGAGGCCAACGTGAGCTACACAGCAAATTCAATACCAGCATGGGCTACAAACAGAGGGATAGGGAGGGGAAGGGAAGAGAGAAAGAAGGAGAAAGAGAGTAAAAAAACCCAAAGATTATTCCTACTGTGTATCTTTGAGGTCCTTAATCTTTGCATGCTTCTCTGTTCACTTCAGAAAATTAGAATAGCAATTGCACTTTGTAGAATACTTTTAGGATTAATTGATTTAATGTTTGTAAGATCTATAGGACAATGCCAGGCAAAGTAACATGACAATGTTTGCTACTATACTTGCAGTTTGAGATCTAGTTATGAAAAAAATGTCAGAGAAATCCTCTCTGAAATAGCGGCTTTTGAGGTGAGACATAATAAAAGCAGGAGACAGTAAAACACATAGATGGAAAATGTTCTAGAAAAAACAAAATAGCACGTGCAAAGGCTCTGAAAAAGGTGTGTTCAAGCTGCAGAGAGAACACAACTGTGATGAGAATGTGGTAGATAGGAAGGTGAGTAACACAGATGAGATTGAGTATAGCGCAGGAGCAAGATCACACAGTGACCTACAGTTCCTTATGATCAGAGATTTGAGTTTCACACTCAAGGTCTTGGAAAGATATTGGAGAGTTTTATGCAAGAGAATGACAGCATAATTATTTATCTATTTTAAAAGATCACAATTGAGAGTGGATGGGTCAGTATTTATTTTTGACATAGGAGGAGTACAGGCAGGGAGGGAGACCAGGATGCTGTCCTGGATCCTAGAAAGAAGTAAGTTTCCTGTTTCTTATTTAGCCATCTTCTGATGAGGGTCACTTAGATTTTCTTTATTTTTCATCACTTTAAACAAAGCTACAGTGAATTTTATGGTAACATATTCTGACAGTTATGTTGAGTAAGTCTGTAACATAAACCCTTAGATGTGGTTTTCTCTTTGCTTATTTCCACAGGCATCCCTCAGAACCTGCAGTGGATTGACTTCAGAACCATGTAAGAATTCCAAAACCCTCAGATGCTCAATCTTTAATATAAAATTATGTAGTATTTGCATATAACCTACACACCTCCCCTGTAGACTTACAATCATCTCTAGATGACTTATAATAACTAATTCAATGTGAATGCTATGGAAGTAGTTGTTATATGTATATTGTTCAGGAATAATGACAATAAAAATGTACATATTTAATTGTGATGAAATTATTTGAATATTTAATTTTTCATTAGAAAGCCTTTTCTATATAAGTATATATGTACATATATATATTGATGGAGTTCAGTGGGAAATTTCAATACATGCATGCATTTCCCACTAATGAAATCCAGTCTCCCCTTCATTCATCTACCCCAATGCTATTAATTATATTTAGCATTCAGATTCACTCTTTTTAGCTTCCATATATTGAAAAACTATATCTAGCACTTGTTCTAGTACAGATGCAATTTTATAAACTGTTATTAGCATTACTTAATTCCATAAAAGGGCTTCATTGTAATTCAGATACAATTTTTTAAATGGTTTCCATTTGCAAAGAGTTGAATCTGTAGATTTGCAATTTGCAGTTATGAAGGGCTTAGGGTACCCCCTTTCCTGACTTAGGGTGGTGTGATGGTTAATCTTAATTATCAACTTCATTGGATTGAGAAATGCCTAGGATATTAGTAAAGCATAACTTTGTTGGTGTCTGTGATGGCATTTATAGAGATGAATAGATCATGAGGGTTCTGACCTAATGGATGGATTAACCCCTTGGTGGATTCATAATATGATAGCATTATTGGGATATAATGAAAAATAAGAGATATAGATTAGTTGAAGGAAGGAGGTCACTGGGGCATGTCTTGGGGGGCTATTTCTTGCCCTGGACACTTCATATACTTGTTTTCTCTGTTACCTGTCTACCATGAGTTGACAGCTCTGTTCCACTACACATTTTCACCACGATGGATGAATTCTCTGAGTCATGAGCCAAAATAAATCTTTCCTCCTTTAAATTATCCTCTTGTATATTTTGGCTACAGCTTCATGAAGTCTAAGTAATATAAGAGATTCAGTTAAAATCTCTTAATTTCTGTAATACCCATATCATAGTCTAAAGGTTATACATTCTCTGTCCATTAGTTTAATAATTATACCTAAATTTGATCAGGTATACTTTATATAGAAAGTCAACATACTCACTATCTATTTTTTCTGTAACAGCAGACTCTTATACTTCTATTTAAATTCTGCTTCTTATATTATATATAATTTTTGACTGGTATTTTATTTTATTAACATATATTACCTGAACATGTTAATGGGATTTGTGGTGATGTTTTCATACAGGTATACAATATGCATTGTTCACATCTTTCCAACCTTACATCATCCCACCTCTCCCCCAGTAACCTTTCCATTCTCTAGTAATCACTTTTATACTTTAAGTCAACTTCTTATAGTTTCCACATATGAGAAAGAACATCTGATACTTGACTTTCTGTGTCTTGCTTACTTTGCTTAACATGATGCCCTGAAGTTTCATATATTTTGCCACAAATGACAGATTTCATATTTATTATGGCTAAATAATACCTCATTGTATGTACACACACACACACACACACACACATATGTATATATATATACGGGAAAATGCTAAATATCATCAGTTATGAGGAAAATACATACATATATATATTCATATATATATGCCATATTTTCTTTTCATTCATCGGTTGATGAGAACCTAGACTAATGTCATATCTACACTATGGTGAAGAATGCCATGACAAAAAAGGACATGCATGTGTCTCTATTTTGTGCTAACTTACTTTCCTTTGGGTATATACTAAGGAATGGTACAGCTGGATTATAACATAGATCTATATTTAGTTTATTTTTTCATCTTGAATGGCTGAATACTTTAATGTTTTATAGTATATAAAAGTTGCACAACAAATTCATTGTTGTAGTGCATTCAATATATATGCAAATTCAAATTCATCTCTGTGTATGCATACAATGTTACCTGCTTTGGTTCATCCTCCCCATTATTTTCCCTCTTCTCCAGCCCCACTCTTGAAATGACTTCAACAGGTTTCAGTGCTCCATATTTTTAGTTTTTTTGAGGAATAACATCCTGTTCTCTATAGTAGTTGTATTAAATTACTTTCCCACCATCAGTGTTTACAGGTTCTTTTTCTCCACATCCCAACCAACATTGGTTTTTGTTGATCTTGCTCTTTGTTTTATTTTGGTAATAGTGGTTCTGTTCTAACTGGGGTGAGATGGAATCTCATTATAGTTTTGACTTGTATTTCCCTCATGCCTGATGATATTTAGCATTTTCTCATATGTTTGTTGCTTTTCCAGTGTTTTTATCCACCTTCTCTTTCTCTGTGGTGCTGTGAGTAGAACCTATTGGCCTCTTACATTCTAAGAAGGTGCCTTCGCAATAAGCTTCATTCCTACTCCTTAATCCATCTTCTTTACACCTGCAATCTCATTTATATAACTAAGTATATATAACTCAGTATTTTATCATAATATTTCTACCTATAGACCAATTTCTTGGCCAATGAGTTAGCCTGGGATGTCACTTCTTTATGGAATCAATTTGTTTATGTTGAAGTACATCCTTCAGTAGTTTTTCTGCAAGGGTGCAAGCATGATACACTGTCAATCTTTGCATGAAATGGGAATATTCATGGGAGGGTTCTGAAACTTGAAAGCTTTGAAAGATGAATTATAATTCAAGCTTTGTCTATGGCTCAAGGTGTTGCAATTAGCCCAGATGAGAACTGGGGTATGCTCTCGTCTAACCTTCCAAATTATCTCCATAGCATCCATGACACTTCCCATTTTAACATTACGAGAGGAATCATACACATGGAAACAAAGAACCAAAGCAGTGCATCTGAATTCATCCTCCTGGGACTTTCAGAAAAGCCAGAGCATGATACGCTCCTCTTTTCTCTGTTCCTCTGCATGTATATGATTACAGTCGTGGGCAACTTGTTAATCATCCTGGCAATTAGCTCAGACTCCCACCTCCACACTCCTATGTACTTTTTCCTGGCCAACCTCTCCTTGGTTGATTTCTGCCTTGCCAGCAGCACTGTCCCCAAAATGCTGGTGAATATTCAAACTAAGAGCAAGTCCATCTCTTATCCTTGCTGTCTGACCCAGATGTACTTTTTCCATTTCTTTGGAATCATGGATAGTGTCTTAATAGCCATAATGGCCTATGACAGGTTCATTGCTATTTGTCACTCCTTACACTACACCACCATCATGAACCCATGCCTCTGTGGACTGCTGGCTGGTGGACCATGGGTGTTTTCCTGCTTCATCTCCCTCACCCACATCCTCTTGGTGACACGTCTGGTTTTCTGCCATGACCATGAGCTGCCCCACTACTTCTGTGACCTCACCCCTCTCCTCCGGCTCTCATGCACAGACACATCAGTGAACAAGATCTTTGTGCTCATTGTGGCAGGGATGGTGATAGCCACACCTTTTGTCTGCATCCTGGCCTCCTATGCTCGCATCATTGCAGCCATCATGAAAGTTCCCTCTGCAGGTGGTAGGAAGAAGGCATTTTCTACCTGCAGTTCCCACCTCTCTGTGGTAGCCCTTTTTTATGGAACCACCATTGGTGTCTATCTGTGTCCTGTCTCTGTCCACACAGTTGTGAAGGAGAAGGCATCTGCAGTAATGTACACAGTAGTGACCCCCATGCTGAACCCATTTATCTACAGCCTGAGGAACAGAGACCTGAAGGGGGCCCTGAAGAAGGTCATCAATAGAAAGTTTACCTCATCTACCTGACCACAAAGACCCTAGGGGAAATCCAGTGACTAGAACCTAAAATTTGGAATTGTATGTGTTAAAAGTGTAGCAACTTTGAATTTAGAATTGCACAAGTTCAAAAGTAACTTCTTTTGGCCTTGTAGCTATTGCTCCAAATACTGTGATCTTTCTGAGTATGTGTGACTAGCACATCCAACTAGTCTAAAATCCATTTAGAATTTAGCAAGTAGTCACACATTGTTTAATGACAGAGATAGATTCTGAGAAGTGCATCATGAGATGATTTTGTCATTGTGTGAATATCAAAGAGTGTGTTTATTTAAGCATAGATGAAGTAGGTCAATCACTGGACATGGATATGATCAACAGACATGATAAAGACTGGTAGTATAGCTCAGTAGTAGAGCAGTTGCCAAGTATACATGAGACCCTTGTTTCCATCTGAATCACTGCATAAAAGAGAGAGGAAAACAAAAATACAGAGAGAGAAAGAGAGAGGGTGATAAAAGAAAGAGAAAGATGAGACGAATGAGGGTACTGACCTAATGGCACAGCATACTATTGCATAGCAAGTTTTTAAAAATGTAAGTAAATGTAGTGTACCCTAAAATAGCAATTAAAAGAATATTAAATGCATGAATCAGTCACAAAGTGATTTATTATCACCATCAAGTATTATGTACTGTGGTACATAACCTGAACTTTGCTAAACTTTAATAAAAGAGATAGTGCAGTAGCTTGTTTACACCACCCCATAATCACAAATATGTGAGTAAATCACAGCACTAGGACGTTATAGTGGCAATGGTGGCAACAGGGTGTTCAAAAACTTTCAAATCCAATATAATTGCCTGGGACCCTTATCATGTATGCTGTCCCCCTCTAGCTAGAACATCACTGTGCAGCATAGGACACTATTTATTAACTATCTGTTCTGTGCTTGAGGTTAACTGCTAACCATAGAGTAGAGAGTATGAAAGACAGGATTCCTATAGTTAGGAGTTTGTTTTTAAGTGTGAGAGAAGACATAGGAGAAGAAAAGGAAAGGATACAATAGAGATACTTGATAGAGTCTGGAGAGGAACACAAGTAAGATTTCAAGCCCAAAATCCAAAGAGTAAGATGATGCTCTCCATGGGAAAACAAGGAGAAAGAGCATCTCAGACAAAGAGAATGGAATGAGAAAATGTTAAAGAAAAATCATGTGAGAAAAGAAAATTTTGGTTATGGAAAAGTCTTCAGGAAATGGCAAGTCAAGATGGGCCTTGGAAACTGACCTAGGAGTTCGACTTTTCTCCTAGGAAGTTTACTTAATGTGTGGGGGCCAACATTTACTTAACATCTGTGAGCCAAAGTCAGGGAGACCATAGATGAAATACTGTCCTGAATTCATTTATTAAGGGAGTGAGACAGAGCATACTAGGGAAAACATTGAGAGTGACGAGAAAGAAGTAAGGAGAGATTCTCAGACCAGGCACTGAAAGAATGAGGAATTCTAAGTATACTCATTTCCAAAGGGAATATAGCAATCAGTTTAGTCATGAATCACTAAATCGGAAGAAAGCTGAGACATGTCTTAATTATCATATATGCCCATGGAATGCATTTAAGTGTCAATACTGCATTGAATGGAAGTTATATTTATGTTTTGCCAGATTTGTACCTTAGTATGTTCCTTTTAAATGTTCTTTTAAATCATCAAAAGTCTCCATGGAGCCAATAGATTACATTTACACCTATTGTGGAGTAACTCTCTGACTCACCTGGAGAATTATAATTCAAATGGATTGAGTAGTGCATTGGAAAGGGCCAGAATGTTTTTCTTTCTTTATAATGGGCTGGTGATTGAACCCAAGACCTTGTGCATGCTATTCAAGCACTCTAAAGAGGGCCACACACCAATTCCCAGGAAATTCTCAAATGGTGCTAAGAAACTTGCATTATTTTATGCAGAATGGCTTTGAATATTTACACATCTAATTTGCTTTTGTTACTTTGCCTCCAGAGAAACAATTCAAGTTTTTCATGTGAACAAGTAGATCTCCTGACTTGCTCTTCCTGTGGATCTGAATAAGAACATAGGTTGAAAAGATAAATAAAATCTACTTTACGGTGGATATTTGGTGAAAAATCCACAGAATTTAATTTAAGAGTATTAGAGTTTACAATGGAGAGCACATGAGTCTGGTCAAACCCTTTTTGGGGTACCAAAACACCATGTAGCAGATGTAGCTTTTATCTCTCCATGTAGCTTTTATCTCTCCATGTGTGATGCCATCATTCTCCCACCATATGCACACAACTGGTTACAGTTCTGCTTGGGAGAGAATTTGAATTGCCAGAGACTTAAGAAATGATTACAAATTAGAGGGTCCTAGAAAATTTGTATAAACTTATCTTGCCGTATGCTGTTTGAACTGAAACTTGTATTTAGTTCACTCCCTTCCTCCTACAGGGAAGGAAAGATGCTGTAGGTGCCAAGAAAATTGCTGAGGATTTTGTCAGATGAATGGTCTCTTTTTAATACTACTTTAACAAATAGAGAGCACCTCTCCACCAAAGATTTGTTCTTGTATCACTTTATATATTTCATTCATACAACAAATATTCACCAAGTACATCATTTATGCCAGCTATTATTCTAGGCAGTGGGGAAAGAGTGGTAAGCAGGAGAGACAAAAACCCTCTCTTCTGAGTGAAAATGGGTAAGTAACGTAAGTTTTGGGGATGATGGATCAGTTCTGTATGCTGATTATGAAGCAGTGACTTTGAAGAGGCCTAAACTTTTCAAGGGTGTTTGTGCTACCCAGATTCCACACCTGTCCATGTAGGATAAATCTCTTGGTATATTTCTGCAAAAAGTTTAGTTTTACTGATATCAGTTTTCAAAAATAAAATTAAAGATTCCTCTTGACTTGTGATTGGATTACATATTGGTAATCATATCAGAAACTGAAAATGTTACAAGAAGAAAATGGAATACATAAGTAATACAATCATAAATGGTCACATGATCTAAACAACCACTTCTCAAAAAAAGTATGGATGTCCAATAGATACATGAAAAATACTCAATACTTTAGCCATTAAGGAAAGATAAAACAACTTTGAAATTCCAACTCATTCCAGTAATCAAGAAAACAACAATTGCAAAAGTTGATGAGGAAACAGAAGAAACAAAACATTTATTATCCGTTGATGGTAATGTAAATTACTACAGCCACAGTGGAAATTAATGTAGCTATGCCTCTAAAAACTAACCACATGATCCTGCTATACCACTCCTAGGTATATATCTGAAAGAATCAAAGGCAGTGTACAAAAGAGATATATGCAAACCTGTTTATTGCTTCACTGTTATCAAGAGCCAAGATAAGTTTGGTACCAGTGGCTTATGCCTGTAATCTAAGATAATCAGGAAGATCATGGTTCAAAGTAGCACAGGCAAACAATTCTCAAAACCTTATCTCAAAAAGCCATTCACAAAAAAGGGCTGGCCGAGTGGCTCAAGGTGAAGGCCCTGAATTCAAGCCCCAGTACTGCAAAAAAGGGGGGAGGGCAAGATATACAATCATACAAGATGCCCATCAACATATGAATGGGCAAATAAAATGTGGTACATATACACAATGGAATATTACTCATACGTAGAAAGAATGAAATTATGTCATTTGCAGGAAAATGGATGGAACTGGAGGCCATCAGGTTAAGTGCGATTGACACAAGACAGGATGATAAGTAGCACATTTCTCTCAGATGTTCAACCTAAATAATTTTTAAATGCCCTGAAAACAGAGGACAGAATTTTAAGGAAGGGGAAGATTACTGGGGATAAGAGAGATGCAGGAGAGAGTAAAATAGGGCATAGGAGAGGGCAGATATCATGAAAGCATGCTATATGCATAAGTGGAAGTGTCACAAAGAAACCCATTAAGCTGTGCAATTAATGTGATTGAACTGATATAATAAAAAAGATAATTAATGCACCTATCTTAACAAATATTAGTATAGCAAGGCTACCTTAAACATGTCAGAACACTTACAGTAGCCTAGAGTTGGGCAGATTCAGTCAACAGAAATCCAATTTTTAATAATGCATTGACTCATGTATTACTATATACAGCACAAAGTCAGATATTTCTTCTCAACCATGGAGCTGAATAAGAGCTTTGGCTCATTGCCACTCCCATTGTCATGACTGAGTGCCATACATATAACCTTAGCCCAGGAAAAGTTAAAATTATGCTTTCCACTGAATTCATACGGCTTTCATAACATTGGAAAGTCAATTGTAAGTCAAAATGAAACCTGTTGAAACTATTCCAGGAATAGGAGGAGAGGAGAAAAAGGAGAATGGTGGAGTGGATGAAGTCAAATATTATATATTGCAAGAACTTTTGTAAATGTCAAATGTACCCTCCAGTACAATAATATGATAATCAAAAACTGTAAGTCAAACACAAGGGTGTAGCACAGTGGTAGAGCACATGAGTAGCATGCATGAGGCCCTGTGCACCATCCCCAGAATTGCAAAATAGCATAATTAATAAGCTGAGGACAGTCTGCATTAAATATACAAAACAAACATTCCCAGTTGAAGAAACAAAATGACAGTAAACAAAGACATGCATAAAAGAATCAGATAATTACCAAAAATTAGAAGGAAATGTCTGGGTGATATGACAGAGATGAATAGAGAGATATTTTAATCTAAGGGCTGCTGAGGGCCTCTCTAAAGGAGACTCCTGAGCTGATAACTGAATATAGCCAGGAAGGAAGGGAAGAAGTGGGGTTAGTGTGCCAGAAAGAGGAACCTCCACCTGCATGGTGAGGAACAAATTGGCTTTTAATACTCATACATATTTGTGGGGGAGTGTGGGTGAGTGGGTGTGTTTTCTCTTCTAGACAATGAAACAGAATCTTAAAAGCATTAAAATCCCATGATACACTCAGTTTTAAACTACTAACAGTTAACATATCATAATTTTGTACAACAGGAAGTTGGGAATGAATTTATC